ATAAAGGAGTACTTCAAGGGAAGAGAAAAACCTTGCCTAAGAAACTAACATTCCAGAGATTTTGCATAAAGTCCAAATCAAAATTCCCAGCAGGTTGGAATTAAACCTAAAGGTTATCTTTTAAAAAACTAAAATGGAGTTTTTATAGGAATTCACAAATTTCTATCTCCAACTATAAGAGCTGAAACTCCTGGCAACACACTGAGGCAAACTACCATTGCCATAAGCCAGAGCAAGAAACCTTACTAGCACAGGTAGGGTGGCACCAGTGTAAAATTTGGTGCAATGGACCTCTAGGTGATTTTTGGTTAGTTTTGTGGGTTTTTTTAAAACTTTCTAAAGTCCTTTGTAACTTCTTGTTCTTCTAGAGAATGCTGCCACTTTCACTTGGAAAAAAATATTGCATATTTAGTTATACTGCATGACCTTAAACATTTTGACAGCCAGTGGCACTCAAAAGCTTTTAAAACTCTGGACACTAAAGACAGCACCTTTGATCTCACATTTCAGTGAAGCAATAGCACTGGGAAAGAATATAATGCAAAAAAATCCTATAGACAAAACTTGCAACTTTTTGTCTTCCCTTTTGGGATATCTGAGCCATTAATTTATAACTTCTTTTAAAAAACAAATGAAGTCAAGAGAACCCTATCAGTGAGCTAACTCTCCACTATTAGGACACTACAACCATGGTAGTCATGACCTAATGGAAAAAAACAAACATAAAAGCTATTGGGCATTATTTGAATTACATACAGACTTAATCCTGTAAGGTATTGAAACATTTCTTTAAAGGTTGCAGGACTGACCTCACAGCACTTAGAATTTGCAGGGAAGAGACCAGTTCACCCTGCAACTAGCCCATGTTTTCAAAATCTTTTTTAAGGTGTTCACATAACACAGCTGTTAAAAACCACCCTAAAGACAACATGCTAATAATTGCATCTCAGTAGTTTCTCTGTGTGCTGATCTCAGATATTTTTAGTTGCAAACACATTTTTAACACTTGGTATTTCTTATAAAGAAAAGGTAATGAAACAAATTCTGTTTAACATGAAGATCTGCTGTTCAGTGACAGTGGACCTTCTTTAGAAAGCAGTTAATCCACAGATTAATGAAAATCACCTAGCTGGACTGCAATTATCGCCTCTTTCCTTATGAACTAGTTTTAACAAAAAAATGAAACTTGAAGAAGGCAGAAGTTAAAAGTTCTCAGTAGCTGACTAAACACTGAGTCACAGAGAAGTGGTTTATGTGGTTTTATAAAGCAGCACTGCAAGTTTGTTCTCCAATTTTCCATATTTTGTAGGAAGACAACATGAATCTTTAATAACAAAATCCTTTCAATAGCCAGGAAAAAAGACATAAGTAAGTAGACGTTTAAGTGATGAGAGAAATGGGTAATAAACAGATAGTGTACAAAATAGGAAATGGTGTTGACAGGATTTCTCTTTGTTAGAAAGTTTTGAACTGGAATAGCAATTATACATTAGTATGCAGAAGATTTAATGCACACACTTTGACTTAAGTTTTCCTTCATGTGTGTCTGGCAGCTCATGTGCTACTGTAAAAATTGATGTTTTAGCTTCTTTTAATCTAATATATAACCTTGTTATCAGGACACTAATTTCAAAATCCTGTTCTATGTAAGTAAAATGTTGTTCAAAAATATGTCTAGAGCAAAGACAATGTGACCCCCTTTAGTTTAAATAACTGATCATTCTTCTGGAAGTCTTGCAGGTGATGAACAATGAGTTTTCAGGAAAAGATTTGCAAGTTTAAAGTTTTTAATTTTTTAACAAAATGAAAAGTAACACAAATTCTTTCTTTGTCTAACACTTAATAAATTATTAAAGCAAAATTGAAACATTGTATTGTTCTTAGGTTATTCTGCTCTTCCAAACAGATTCCTTTAGGTCATTTTTAAAATAAAAATGTTCTTAAAAAAAAATAAAAGACTAAAAATTTTACTGATGCCGTTATACTTGGGCATCTCTTCAGGAACTTCTAACACAACTTTCTGTGGCATACATGAGCTCTGTGGTATTTTGTGCACAATTGGAGCTGTTCATAATACACATTTTTTAGGTAGGTTGCATTTCCTTTTCAAATTAATCTGTCCTGTTCCCACACTGTAGGCACAGCAGATACTCAGAAATCTCAAGTCACTGTTAACAAGTGTTCCCTGTTGCTCTGGAAGGAAACAGCCTGAAGTCTTTAGTCTCTAAAATTTACCCACAGGTTTCTTTAAAGAAGATAAAGAAATTCTGAAGAACAGACACACCTCCATTGATAAAATCCACTTCCCAGACATGGAAACTGCCCCTATGTGATGATCAAAATCACTCACTCTAGCCAGGGCAGCTCACTCTTGAGCCAGAACTTCCAGAATGACTACTGTCATTTTGGCACTAAAAAACCTCAAATCAGCAGCTCAGTTCTTTTTGAAGATTTAACTATCTATGGATATAGGGCATAAATGTAATTAGCACTTTTCAGCAGAAATTCTGTTTCTGCTTCTCTGATGCAACTCAGCATCCAGCTTCACCAGACTGGAGAGGGAAGGCACATGTGCCCACAGTCTGTCTGGGGACTGCCATAGCTCATGGCATAATATAGTCAGCTTTAAGGAAATTCTAGTTTCTAGAGAGAAATTACTTCGATTTTTCTTGAATACTCCTGCAAAACAAAGATCTATCAGCAAATATACATAAACTGATTTCTTTTATGGTTCAGAAAACCCACAAAAGGCCTCCAGACTTTGGTAATTTGTATTTAAATCAGTAAAAAAGTACTGCATAAATGATACTACTGCAGTTGTCTTTTGACAAGAAAACTGTTCTAACCAGAGCAAGTTGCATTTTCCTTAGCAATGTAGCAATTCACACCATTATTTATGCTACATGTCAAACATATTTTCTTTACATTTTACCAGTATCTCAACCTATAATAGCCTCTCTGAAATGCTAATTGCAACTATTACCCATCCCATGATCATTCTCACACTCTTTTGCTAGGAACTGCTAACAGTAATGTACAAGGATCAGGAAATTCCTACCTCTCACTATAATTGCACAGGGATTTTGGTTCCTTTAGAGTCAGTAATGTCTAAATTGGATTAAGATAAATTGCTTATGAGCCTTTCTCTACAGAAATTGCTTTCATGACTGCTATATTTAATGCCAGTTTACCCTAAAACTTCATTTTTTTTACACCAGTCTTATATGAATGAGTTTCCTGTAAGCTCACACTCAATTTCAGATTATTCTTAAGGACTAAAAACCTTTTGAATAGGAACAGAAAATACCCCAAATTTTGCTGACATACTCCTGAGTGAATGTAGCACCTGTCGTGCTCGCACTGTTCATTATGATCAGATGAAAATCAAATTATTTGATCAGAGGAATGACCACTATCAAAATCATAAGTCTTAGCCTGTCTATTAACGTGTTTAAACACCTTTTCACTCCCCTGTCTGGGCAATTGATGCTCTGAGCAATAATAATCTGAGTGGGTGGCGGAGAATGAAGTGAGTGGGCATCAGATGTAGTACTGATGCAAATTACTGCTACTTAGCAGCACACACATTCTCTCATTCAGGGAAATACTTATGGTTACAGATGTCAGATGTAAGTAATTTAAATATTTTACCTGGAAATAAAAGTAGTAGTGTATTCAACATTTATTATCTTATAATTGTAACTGAAGTGTCACTAAATGTCTGACTAAAATGTAATAAAGAAAACTCTGAAAAATTAAAATACAATCTGTGTCCCTAATTTGTCTGGTTTGTGGGTTTATTTTTTTAGTATTGCATTTTCAGACTTCAGACCTCTTAATGTCTATGTGATTGCTGATACACATTACCAAGACCAAATAATGACTACAAAAAAAATCCTGATTGGTCTTTCCTTTATTTTGGCATATTACTGTTTTAATAATTTTAGCTACTGAGACTAATGACAGGGGTGACAGAAAGGAAATGCCCAACATTACTAGAGGCTATATACAGTTTAAATATAGTGAAATTAGCAGTCATTATTTCTCAGTTGACCATAATACTGCTGTTCTACAGACTCTAGAAGACATCACAATGCAATCAGTACTTGTTCTTTGGCTCAAATATATGTGAAAGCTTCCTTTCTTGTCTTGGTTTTAGCTGAGATAGGATTAATTTTCTTCCTAGTAAATGTTACCTTGTTGTGATTTGATTTAGTATGAGAATAATATTGATCAGGCACTAATGTTTGGGTTGTTGTTAAGTAGTGCTTACCCCAAGTCATGGACTTTTGAGTGTCTCATGCTCTGCCAGTGAGGAGCTGCACAAGAAGCCAGGAGGGAGCACAGCCAGCACAGCTGACCCAAACTGGCCAAAGGGATATTCCATACCACAGAACATGATGTTCAGTGTATAAACTGTGTTGCTAACTGACTGAGGAGGAGTAATATTTACCAGCAAGTAATTACTTAGTGGCATTGACCAGGCTGTGATTCCAAACACCTTTTCTTTTTCTTTATCTACATTTCATTCTTACACACACTTAAGCAAAATGACCACTTTGTTATCTTTTCCTAGAACTATACCCTGAATAAATATTCAACATAAAAAAAAAACAAAAATCAACTCTAAAGAAACAGAAAACAAAAAAGAAAACTCATTTATGTACACCAAAGCAGTGATATATACAAGCTGTACTTTCACAGGAGAAAGAGACCTCTCTCAGAACAAATGAATTTTTATCTGGTTTCTCTTTTAGGTGAACTATTTAAATACCAGTGGTATTTTAGTGACTGTGAAGGTCTAAGCAAGGTTGGCATAGCAAGGAAAATATTGTATTGAAGCAAATGATGAGACTTGAAAAAACAAACTAGCCTTGGAGTTAAGAGTCTATTATTGGCCTTTTAATTGAGTCATTAATAAACAGACAAGCAATCTAAGTGCAACACCTAAAACAACATATGCTTCAATACTAATTGCAACCAGAATCCAGACACAGTACCTTAGCTTTATCCCTCATGGATCCTTTTCCCAGGATGGACATTTTTGCACCTGTTTCTTCTTGTAACCTCTTTAAAGAGTTTCCTCTTGGTCCAAGCAATTTCCCAACAAAATTGAACTAGAATGAAAATAAGAGAACTCTTTTAGACACACAGGTACTTTTCCAAAAACTTAATAAATAAACATGATGATTAAACAAGAAAATTCTACTTTCCTTTAAAAGAAATACTCCTACTTAACTTTGAGCCTAATTGACAGAGATACAAGACTGCAGAACCAAGATGTTCACTCATCTAGTGTGAAGGACAGTAAAAGCATTCATGGTTTATTTGACCCCTGGGAGGATTCTCTCTAGGACTAACAGGCCAGTGGCTGCTACATTTAGTAAACTGCTAAACAAGATATTTGCTCATGAGACCGTACTGGTGAAACTCAGAGAATACCTAGGTTCTTTCCCAAGTTAGCCAGCTCTACTGGAAATTAACATATTCTGCAAAGTTAGAGTTTCAGACAGATCTTTAGGATTTGATGTTTTGCACACCAAACTTGAAAATAAGTGCTGTTTTGCATATTGGCTACAAATACCTGTTTTGCCAGCACCAGAACAAATGACAATCAATAGATCATGGTAGATATTCAAGGGCATTTTCTAAAATGAACACAGCTTTGTATGCCATGCTGCTAACATTCCTAAACTGCACAGTTCATGCTACACATAAAACATTTTTTTCTGTGTGAAGAGGAGGGATGTCCACAGGACAATATGAGGACAGAACAATAAATAAACAAGGTGTTAATATCATGTCAACACAAAGCAGCAAAAAAGGGGGGAGTCTATTAAGTAAGTAGTTTATTCTGTAATCAATACTCTCTTCAATTTGTTACTTTTTATTATTTCCAACATGTTTAAAAATGCTACAGAATCTGATCTTCAGAAGCTGGCTGGACATCACCAGCACTTGCTCAAGATACTTTGGAATTATGTTCAAGTCTGAACAAACAGTATTCTGGTCTGCCTTTCAACAAAAAATAAGCTCCACCAAAGCAAAAGGAGTGTCATTGTATCAGCACTTCCTTGGTTTTAGTGCAGGGAAAAAGAACATGACAATAAGAAATATGAATCAAGAAAATGTTGCTGTCAAAAATACACACAAAAGTCTATACAGATGGTATAATATACTTTGTTTTGCACTACCTTCTATTTTAAAAATAAAAAAAAATGGGCAAACAATTGTTTTCACTTTGACCAGCAAGGATATAACAAGACAAATGCATCAGCCATGTTAGTAACACCCAAACTCTGAATCATGCCAGATGTTCCAAATCCCAAGCTGGCTTTTAGTCCAGTAACTTTATTAAAAAGAATTTTTAACTTCCTTCAAATATTAGTTAAACTATCTAAGAAAATAGTATGCAATCACAGGAAAAGTAAATATGTACAGTAAAATCTACTGACACATGAAAACAAAGTAATTGATTTCTGCAAGATAATGTGTCCATGAGGGAAGTAGTAAGTGATAACATGTGCAGGAAAATTTAGCATGATTTGAAGCTCCAGAACCAGATTTTTTGAGCTTGTGTGCTTTTACTTTTTTCCAACTCTACCTGTTGATTTAATATAAGTTATCAACTCTTCAAAATAGTGTAGGATTTCAAGTCAATGTCCCAATCAATCTATCAACAATCCTATGTCTTCAAACTGTTGCTCTGCCTCTTCCAGGGAAATCTCGGCTTAGAAGAAGTTGTTGGCTTCAAATTGATTATTCAGTTTTGTATGAAAAGAAATGAAACAAGGAGGAAGAAATGGCAAGAACTGAACTTTCATACTAGATTGCAGACACAATCTCTTGATAGAATTAAGACTTCAAAAATCACCCATTTATATACCCATGTATATAAGGGTTTATTAGGGATGGCTGAGGAAACAGCAGCACTTTTGCTTCTCGGCAGGGGCCCTCTTATGTGCAAAAGGGAGGCTGTCACAAGTTACATCACCAAATCTTTTGTGACAATTATACATCACCAATCAGACAAGAACCACGTTCTGATGCACCCTTCCAGTGTTTCTTAGTATTAAAAAAAGCTACCCTTTGAAAGGTGAATGAACTGTAACATTATGTAACTTCAGAGGAAACTACAAGAAGTCCAACCAAAGCTTGACTACAATGTCCTCTGATTGGAATAAAACTATTAAAATACACTCTGTGAAGATTTATGTTGACCATTCACATTTAAGCACTTCATAAACTGTATAATCATTACCTTGACATATTGCTGCAAAGGAGCAGTATGGCCAGCATAGACCATGTTATGCGCTAAGTGGATTTTAATCACTTCACAGGAAATAAGTGGCTGGGGATTTTAATTCTATTGATTATGTAGCAGACAGACACTCACATTTCATCCACTATCTACAAAATACATAACAGGAAGGAAGAAGTTATTTACAACCAAAAAACTGTATTGCTCTCAGTTTGGTTTTGTCTAAAGTTGCAGCAAAGCCACGGCACTGTATCTGGCATCCTAGTGTTGTGCTCAGTCTTCCCAGCACATCTAGAGCCACTGGATATCCTCAGCACAATCTATAACCCTGAAACTCCTCAAGGTCTGAAAGTACTGGTAAAGTAACTCTGACTCTACCAGTCAATAACTTGTGAAAAATCACATACTTTATGTTCCCATATAGGTAAAAGCAGCACATAAGAAAGAGGATGTTTCACTTAACAGCACAAAATGTAGGAAATCTTAAACACAACTTCATTTGTCTTATTTTTTTTTTTAAATGAAGAAATGCTGGCAGAACCGATTTTATACTAGAAAGTTAAGTCTCCAGTTACAGCAAATGCACACACATATAATCTGAGCACAGGCAGTGCAGGAAAATGTGGACACTCAGGCAGCTGGACTGCATATAATGGTGAGCCTTGCATACAAACACGTTCATGGTTCAGCAGCTGTAACTGCAGATGTTATTCTGCAATCTCAGATCCAATCCAATTCTGCCATGTGTACAAATTTTCTCCAAATAATACTAGCTCTAAGTCTCTGGGATAATATCTGGTCACATTAGGAGAGGATAGCTGAGAAATGCTGACAAATAGAAGAGAGAGTATTAACAGAAAGCTTTCACTGCTGGGGAACAAACAAACTTCCACTTGAAAAATATTGTTGTGTTACTAGATGTCTTTATAGGTGGCTTAACTTTTCAATCATGTTTGTGAACATAAGCTAGGCTTTCTATTTCCTTGCAGAAACCTTTCCTGGTTTATGGCAGAGATTTTCTATATTATTTTCTTATATTTTTTTATCATTTGTCTGGGGGAGATGATGCATGTCTTCAGGGGAAAATGATCAGGTGAAAGCAGGGGATGCTTTACTTATAATCAAATGCACATGATGCTTCGTGTATCAAGAGCTGTGCAATAAACCTTCTCCTCTGTAAAATAAAACCTGACAGAGAATACAGCTCAATAGATCTTTCCCTTATCTACAGCCACTATCTCCAACATCTTCCCCAACCAATATATACACACAGTTTCAGCAGATTTATCTGCATCCTGATTACTTTCACACTTCACCCCACACAAGCAATCAGACAGTAAGGTGCCCAAAAAGCCAAAGCTCTGGCTCCTCTGTTTTCATCAAAATTTTTATTCAAACTACCTCAGGACAGGTATAACAAATCTAAGGTATAGTTTACAGCATCAGCATTCAAGACTCAAGCTAAGTGTAAAGACTGGTAGAAAATGCATGTTTACATTTAGAAGAATCCTTGTTTCCCTGTTTGATGCAGCCCAAATACATTTCTTCTAGAACTGTAACACTTCTTACTTTATAAAATCTAATTTAATAGGGTTTTACAACAGAATCAAGGAATACGCTTACCATTCAAGAAACAGGTTTGTGTCAGTGGCTGTTTCTGTTTCATACACAGATCAATGTTCACAGAAGTAAGAAAAGCTAGATAAATAACGAATGGGATAAGACAAATGTTTCCAGCTTTAAGATAATGCAGAACAAAGCCCTGAACTGGGAGAACAAATTAATTTCTTCTAGAAGCAGCAAAACAGAAATAGCCCTGGCTTGACAACACAAAACAGATTTATTATTTCCCCATGTTTTGCTTACCATTGCTATCAGTTCCTCTGTGGAGAGACAAAGTGTCACTCTATTTTCGGAGCTACTTATCCTCACAAAATCCTGTCCTTATTCATGGAGAGTAGGATGGGGGTAAGGGGTGGGGAAGAATCTTTCTAAATTCAGTTCTGTTCCAAAGAAAATGTGAGAAGACAAAGACAATCACACCTGAATAAAACCTTACTGATTGAGACCTGCCTATAATTAAGTTCCTATTCTAGGATTTCTGATAGTTCATTTAATTTAGAGCAGCATTTATTTTAAAAGTATCTCACGTTTTGATATGCACAGTGGACTTCATGTTAATGCAGTACTGGACTATTATGAAATGAAATTTTATTTCTCTCAAAGTATTATAAGCATTGTATAACAATGCCTGTACCAACATGCTTTAAGTTTTGGTCAGCCCTAAACTGGTCAGGCATTTGGACTTGAGCATTGTAGGTCTTATCCTACTGGAATTTATTCTATTCTATTCTATTCTATTCTATTCTATTCTATTCTATTCTATTCTATTCTATTCTATTCTATTCTATTCTCCCTATATGTAGTTGCTTGCCCCGTCCAGATAAGTATGCAACATTATTTTTTTATTACAGAAATGTGATGTGATGCTTGCTGTCTCTTGGAGAAGAGGTTCTAACACCTGTTTGGTAGGACTGAACTTTGCAGGGCTCTACTTTAGCAGGGCATGTCAAGTGACAGCAAACACCAGAAGCAGAAAATCAATGTACCCTGGAGATCTACCCCAAAGAACGTGTGCTACTGCTTCCTTACAGCCTTGTATCACAGAAATGTCTCTGCAGCAGTCCCAGAACCAAAGGAGAAGAGGAGAAAGCTGTCCTTTCCTACAGAGCTTACTGGGTCTCATCTCTGTGTTAGGCTTTAAACAACAACCCAATGCCAGGCTGTGCACAGAAAAATTAAATGTTCAAAGGCATCATACAGCTTCTTGAAAACTCTAGGCCAAATTAATTTCAG